GTGCATAGTGTGGGCTCAGCACATGCCAGCCCTTAGGAAGGCTGATCTGTGGTGGTTTATCTGTTGAAGAGAAACAGAACTGTGCAGAGACAAGACAGAAACAAGGATGATGTGTTAGTCAGCTTTTCCACTGCTGTGACTAAAAGATCTGATCAGAACAATTGTAGAAGAGGAAAAGTTTATTTGAGGGCTCATGGTTTCAGAGGTCCTAGTCCATAAGCGGCCAGCTCCATTCCTCAGGGCTCAAGGTGAGACAGAACATTATAGCGGAAGAGTGTGGCAGAGGGACGCAGCTCAATCACAATCAGGAAGCAGAGAGAGACTCCACTTGCCAGGTTACAAATATATACCCAAAGCCCTGCCCTGATTCCTACCTCCCCCAGCCATACTCCACCCCTTCTCAGTACCTATCAGTAGTGGATTAGATTGCTGATTGGGTTAAGACTCTTATAACCCAATCATTTCTCCTCTGAACCTTCTTGCATTGTTTTACACATGAGCTTTTAGAGGGCACTTCACACCCAGATCTTAACAGATGGAAAGATAAGGCATTGGCCTTGCCAGTATGGAATGCTATCACATTTCGGTGGCTTAGCTGTCCTTTCCCAGCTTGACTGACTCTAATGTGTGTACATGGGGAGGCTAAGCAGGAGAGGTCTCTGTCCATGAACTTATACATGGTTTTGCCATCCTGGGAGTCCTCTGCTGTACCTAGTGAATCCAGCACCATATGAGGAAAGAGAAAGTGTGGAGGATTAGGCAGGAAGTTTCATGGCTCCAGGCCTGATGGCAGCGTATGGCACTTCTGCCTATGTAGTAGTGATGAGAGTGAGTCATGGGACGTGTGCAAGGGAAACTGGGTAATGTAATCTATATGTGTGCACAAAATGGTTTGGTGGTCAACTCTGCATCTGCCGCAGTCTGCCACAGTATTCAGTCGTGATAATAATTATCACCGTGAGTAAAGGAACATCATAGTGGTTCCTCATGATGTCTTGTGAGCATTCCTAATTATGCAGTCTTTACTTTCCTGAGCCTCAGAGAGGGCCAGTTCTCATCCCCAGAGTGACACGTGTGTGCCTTCGCCCCTGTGAGCCATTCTTGACTGTAACAATGGACTGAGGATGGCCAAGGTGACAGGCGGGTCTCAGCTTTGCCATGGAGACCATGTGAATGGGGCTTCTAAATGCTCAGAAGGTGGCCTTCTCTTCCTTTCTGTTCTACCTCTGTTGTTACAAAATGAATCACCCCAAAACTCAATAGCTTAAAATACAGCATTTGCTTTACTATTATCTACCACAGTTTCTGTGGGTCAGGAAACCACGAGGGGGTTAGCTAGATGGTTTGAGCTCCGAGTTCCTTCTAAGTTAGCCAGCTGGTGACTGGCTGGAGCCTTGAGGATGTGTTTACCCCGCATGCCTGCCCTCTTGGCTGGAAGGCTCTAACAGCCAGATGGACTCCTTGAGTCCCTCTCCTGGTCTCATTAGAAGATCTCCAGATCTCCTGCTTTTCACATGGCAGCTCGAGGCTTCAATGCAAGTGCTGAGAGAGAGAAAGAGCGCTCATGGCATGACGAGTGCACCAAGCCCCCGGCAGCCACCTGTTGCCTCCTCTAGCCGCAGACATCCAGCAGAATTACTTCTGTCACAATCTTGTTTTCCCAGCAGTCTTCATGGAACTGCTTGGGTTCAAGGAAAATGTACACAGACTACCTACATCTTTTGATGGTGAGTGTCAGGAAAAAAACTGTAGACACATTTTGCAGCCAGCATGCTTTCTTGCCCCCCATCTACAGGCATCCTTGCTCCCCCCATCTGGGTCACCCCTCGTGAGACCACTACTCATCCTAGGCAGACATGTACTGATTCCCTCAGAGGCCAGCAGGGATCAAGAAGTCTGGCTAAACATCCAGGGAAGCCTAGACTGGGGCAGTGGGGACTGGAGTGGGATGGCAGCTCCTCATTAGTGTCATTTAATTAATTTGCATCTCCAGCCAAGCATGTTTGAAGGCCAGGCTTGGTTTTTCGCCATCCTATGGTCTATACGTAGGAGATGGTAACAGCAACCATGGAAACTCAGAGAAATTAAGTGATTTAGTCAAATTCACAGCTGCGGCTGGGAGCAGAGGGTCGGACAGAGATTTGAAACTGGACCTGTCTCCCATCAAAGACCACATGCTCCCTGGCTTCTCTATGGTGGAGGCAGACAGAGGCTAATAGCAGAGCTCAGCTATGGGGAGAGCCCTTCCCTCCTCTCTGGCCCCCTTCACCACTCTGTATCCAGGAGCCATGGAAATAGATGTCATAGAAACACTGTGATGGAGAGGTAGCAGGAGGGGCTCCTCTTGGTGCTGTCACTCTTTCAATCAAGAAATACACCCTTTTCACCTATAGGAAGATGGCCATAAAGGGGGATCTTGGGGAGATTTATTTGTAGTCACAAAGCTTGAGGTGTAGGGTGGTCAGCTTCTCTTAAGGAACTAAAATTTCAGAGTAGAGCTGGGAGCTTGCACATCCAGTAAATGAGATAATCGTAGTAGCCATGATTTAGTATGTAGCAAATGTTGGATGAGCACTGTGTATCTATCATCTCATTTAACCCTCTTAAAAGCTATTGAGGTCAAGGTCATCATCCTTGTGTTGTCAGTGGAAAACAGAGCCTCAAAATGAAACAAACTGCCCTTAGGTCATCAGGTGGCTAAGCTCAGAACTGCTTGGCTCTGAAGCCTGGGTTCCCAAACACTGACTCTGCCAGGAGAGCCCCACAGGATACCCACCCCTGCCTTATCCTTGCACTTCAGCAGCACATTTTGTGCCCCTTTACATAATAATATTAATTGAAGATATTGGTGCCACATCCATCAGCACAAGTTGCTACTATTACATGCTGTGTCTTGATAATTAAACCCTTAGTTGCATTGTCATATTTGCAGTTGTTGAGGTCCCAAGACATCTGTCTCAGTGCAGTCGGAAGGTGAGAAGAATGTGCATGATGTTGGGGGCTCACACATACGGCCTGGCTGCTGGTTCTTGCCCCTCTCACAGTCCTTCTTGACTTCCCACTGCTCCTAATGCTCTTTCTTCGCAGCACGCTCCATGGTCTGAGAAGGCGAATGCTGCTTCCCCATGTCAGGCTAGCTAGGAAGCAACCTGGATGGCTGTTAAAGATTATGGAAAGCTAGATGAGGAAGGGAGGTGGTACCCAGGCGAAGTCCCTTGAGGACTCACTTGATTTTTATTTCTGATTTTAGGAGAATAGTCCCTCTCAAGCCTGATTATTTTTCAGACAAAGTGCTGGAATCTGAAAACTGTTTCCATGTTCCTTTTATGTAAATGTATCATTCCTAAGTCTTTCTGGGGCATTGTTGCATGATGGGAACTTTAGAATCCAACTAGGAAAGCCAAAGAAATGTGAATCCTCGGGTGCTGTGGGGCTCTCCTGACAGAGTCAGTGTTTGGGAGCCTGAGCTCCAGAGCCAAGCAGTCCTGAGTTTGAATCCCTGCACAGCCAGCTGGTGACCTAAGGGCAGTTCATCACTGGGAAGATGCCTCATGGTGGCCATGTGCCCTCTAATGACATTCTGGCCAATGATGACCCACATATCCAAAAGTGACCCCTTAAGATGATACTGTCTCAGGACATTGTAGTTTTCTAGTTTGTGTAAGTATACTCAACAATGTCTGCACAGTGATAAAATCACTCAATGACACATTTTTCAGACAGGTCTGATTATTAAGTGTTGTGCCACAGAATATAGATGTTCTGGAGGAGAGAGGGCCAATTCACAGATACCCGGTACAAACAGCAAGGGCCAAATCTCTGAAACATTTCTCATGTGGAAAGCATAATATGTAGAGATTAATTGTTAATCATCCATTGTTAAGAATTGTAACATTTTATTCTTGGTTCCTTCTTTAGCATCCATACTCATAGATGAAGTTAGTGAACGTAGAATATTTATATTTATATGCAGTTTCCCTTCATCCTGGTTTCTCCACTCATGATGTCCCCTACATCCTTGACTCCAATATTATTACCAGAGGCTTTCATGGAGAATTCTCCTCTTTGGGGCCATTTTTAGGAGCATAAGCTTACAAGTATTCATGCAGCTGTCTTTACCTAAGGAATGAGATGAGCAGCTACCTCTACTATGTGCCAGGGACATACTCTACTATGTTGGGCTGTGGAATTAAGTGAGAGATGGTCTTTGCCCTCAGGGAGTATGCAAAGTAGTTGGAAAAATAGATGTTTTGTTTGTTTGTTTGTCTATTGGACACTCTTGTCTATTGGTATCTAGCTATATATCAAAGTCAGTAAAGATTCTTTTGGTTTCAAGTGATAGAAAATTCAATTCAAACTGGTTTAAGCCAAAATATGAATGTGATGGTATAGATGAGCTCATGTAATGTTAGACTACAGAGGCATGTGGGTTCTGAGAAGGTCCAGACACTCATATGACAGCACAAAGAATGTCTTTTTCATCTTCTGGTTCTGGGACACTGTCTTTTAATGGTGGCAAGATGGCTTTGGGGAAACCTGAAGTTCAGCAATCCCAGTTGATACAGAATTATTGTTAGTATGAGTCGTGTATGCATTTCTCAACCAATTGTTGTGATCAGAGTGATTGAAGATACTTATAAGCCTGTCCTGGATCAGGTGCCCATTCCTGGGATCCCTAGAATCCAAATGAGGAGTTAGCCCCACATGTGCGACACGACCTGAAAGCCAGGGAAGTGGGGATATCCAAAGCAAAGTTTGGTAGTTGAAGAAGGGGCCATAAAAGTCAGGCACTTAAGTATAACAAAGCTCCTCTACCTAATAATGAATGGCTTCTTCCAAACAGCATCAATGAGGCTGGTTGGGCATGCTCAAGGGATAGCATTACTCATTGCAATTGCCTTCTCCTTGACAGGCAGCAGCCTCTCAGTCCAAGCCAGTCTGGGTTGAAGAGACCAGAAGTAACCTGCAAAAATCTGACCTGATTTTGCTTTCCTTTGCAGTGACCTGGACAGAAATAATATCACCAGGATTACCAAGATGGACTTTGCTGGGCTCAAGAACCTCCGAGTTTTGTAAGTAGCAGATGGTTCTCCAGTGCGTTTTCATTTTCACCTTTTTAGCCTTGTGAAAATGTTCTCTGCCCTGACCTCACACTCCCAAGCACTGGGCAACAGGAATTCACAATCTTGCCGCAGAAAACCCTTCATTACTGTACCCAAGTGCTCACAGGTATCTCATTCCATGTCTGGATGCTGCTGGCTGGGCGAGATAGATGGAAGGGCTTGCTTCCAGTGACAGGGAAAACAGACCTATAAACGAATAAATCAATATGCCCAGCTTCCAGACTGACAGCAATGTCAAGTTGACTAACCATGCTTCCCTTCCATAGAGATTATAATTTCTTCTCTAGCCTGTACATTAAAATAGCAATCAGGACAAAGGTTATTTATCTTGTTGCTTAATGGAGAGGAAGGAGGGAGAGGGTCAGACAGGGTCGGAGCCCTTGCTGAACGTTCACAGCTGTGCAGCTAGGTAGCAAAATTTGAGATGGGCATTGATGGAATAAGGGAGCAAGAAATATGTGGTCTCATAATTGTGTATTGAGCACTTTCACATATCCTTAAGGCTACGAGTGGTAAGAAGCTTCCCAAATGCTTGTTTACTGAAAAGTCTAAGACTCCCAGAGTGCAATAGGAATTCACCTCCCTGGGAGCAATTGGATCCTCTTTCCCTCTCTACTCAGTGGATGATTTTGGTCTGTCAGCCTGGCTGTAGACATGAAGTATAATTTGGGCAATGTGGCCACAGCCTTGATGCCACAGAATATCAGCTAGCATTTCTTTTTCTACTAAAAGTGACGGCTTAAGTGTTAGTACCTAAAAGCCATTTCTTTCTTTTTCCTAATAGCCTGTATAACAGGGTGAATTTGTACTTAGAAGTCACGGACTTAGAACTAATTGCCAGTGTAACTTGGGCAAATCTCTGTACCCTTTTGGGCCTTGGTTTTCATCTGTAATATAGGGAATGAATAATTAGATGTCCTTACTCATCATAGTTACACGTAGAATGCTTTATGGTTTTAACATTTTAATGAACAGTCTTAGATTATTCTCAATATCACTTGTGAAGCGATTCTTTTATAGCATTATTTTCCCAATTAAGATGTTAATAATAACAATGATGATGGTAACCAACAAATACATGATACTTCCCATGGATCAAACATATATTTAAGTAGTGCTAACATATGAGATCAGCATCATTATGCAGAGGAAACTACACAGAAAGGTTAAATCATCCCAGCTCTGCATAGCAGGTGACTTAAAGAGTTGGGACTGGACCCCAACTTTGTGTCTTTGAAGTTGAATGCTGTGTTGCTATACATTTGCATTCTAGAAAGCTCAGAAAACCAAGGCAGTAACAGTTTACCCATTTTGAAAATGCAACAGGGGCTGGGGGTGTAGCATAGTGTAGAGCACATGCTGAGCATGCACAAAGCCCTGGGTTCAATCTCCAGCAGGAAGAAAGAAAGGAAGGAAGAAGGGAGGGAGGGGAGGATAAGGGGAGGAGAGAGGGAAGAAAAAGAAGAAAGAAGTGCAGCACTGATGAGCAGGAGCTTACCTGAGTTTCCCTGAGCACCATTGTGTGGGGATGCAGGGATCTGATTGCTGGGCTTCCAGCCACCAGATGCTACCAGATGCTTCCTGGAACAGATATTTTTGCCTGTCTTTGGTCTTGAACATTCTATTGTCATCATCCTCAGAGAGAAGATCCACCCTGTGCCAAGTCTTCCTTTTGCCTTGAGCAGCTATGTTTCTGTTATGTGACTGACAGCTCTGAGAAGCCGAGCATGGATCAGAATTGAGATTGAGATAAGGGTGGGGGAATCCCATGGTTCAGTTTTAGGATGATCTTTGGTTAGAGGTATAAGCAGGAGACTCCTGATTCAAGGTGATTTGCCCAGTTAAAAAACACATTTATTTTGGCCTATTTTTTTCCCATTTCTGTCCTCTGCATCTGTCAAGAGTTTTCCCTTCATATAAGTTGGAAATTTCATTGAATGCTTCATTTTCTAAGTCAAAAATAACCCTTTGATATTTCTTACTGTTACATCAGAAAGACTAATAAAAATTCCAATTTTCATATCTGCTGTCTGCAAATAGAAAGTTTAAAATAATCACCAAAGATCATATTAATATCCTCTGGATGGGTCTACAGAATTCCTTTGACTACAGTTTATCTTTTCAGTTAATTGTTATATCCCTCTTATTTTGATCAGCAATGCCAAAAAGCCTTTTACCCCTACTTTATAGACACTATTAATATACTGTTTCATTATCTTCCTTATCAATTCAAAGACAATCCCATTCAAGTGGTACTTTATTACTGCAAAGGAATCTGTTAGGTAGAATAGCTGAAATGCTTTCTAACACCAATAAAATATCTAAATATTTTAACAGATTTCCCCTCAATTTTCTTTTTAGCTGAGTAACCTAGATAACTATCTTTTTTTTTTTTTTAAAGCTTTCATCGCATCTTGGCACATTTCCCATATCTGTTCCTTATTTACAATTTATAGTGAAGCCAGAAAAGACTCTGTAGTCTTGAATAATTTGAGTTTGCCACCCATTCCCCCCCACCCCCCGCCAAGCTGTTAATCCAGTGCAGGTGAATGGGTGAAAACAGATAAAACAGATTGGCAGATTCTAGTCTCATCCCAGAGTAATCTTCCCTAAGTGAAATGTATTCAAGGAGGAGAAGGAAGAATTGCCCAGGAAAGTTATTTCTCTGATGGGGTGGGAGTAGGAAAAGGTCTCTTCTGGTGGTATCAATTAGAGGCCCTTTCTTAGTCATCTATTTAAGGGCTGTGTGCTCACAATGTGGGAGCCAGCTTTATCCCAAATGGGGTTAATAAAAGAGTTAAACTCCACCCCTGCCATCGTCACATGAAGGCCATTTCCGATTCAGATCTAGTGCTAAAACTAAAAAAATAACAATGCCAAAAAGCTGAAAATGAACACAGTCTGTGTCTCTCTAACTCAGAGCAGACTCTAGCCATGGGCTGCCCTCTGGAAATCCAGCCCCTCCTGGAGCTCCTGTCCCCTGAGGCTGACCTGGGGACAGGGTGGTTGAAGTGGCTTTCATGTCTGCTTGCTCCTTTCTCAGCTCAGAGGTCTCCGTGGAAGTTTCATGGCTTATTCATTCATTGACTGTTTTATTCACCAAATGGCGACAGTTTATTGAGCCTGTAAGTGCCAGATACTAGCTGGACTCTGATAGATCTAGGAAGAAGGGCTCAAAAGGGGCTGAGACAACTTTCCAGCAGGTGACACTGATGTAGGGCAAACAAGGAGAGCTAAATAACACGTCATTTGCAAAGGTGTGGGTTGGGGTAAGAAAATCCCAGGAGATGCTGTTCCCCAGGCTAGTGGCACCAGGGAGCTGCTGCTGCCCTGAGCTTTGAGGAGCAGTGGGCAGGGTGGTCTGCAGGGCCCAGCCAAGGCAGGGGCAACAGGAATTCACGATCTTGCCGCACTATGGTCTTGGAGAGAAGGTCATGGTCAACCTGAAGTTATGACAGGAGGGGAGGGAATATGTCCCCCACTGCACTGTCCTCTCACTGTGTCTCCTGCCCTGGGAAACTCCCTCAGGGTGAATCCAACAGGAAGCCAGAGGCCACAAAGCTTCTAGAGGAAGCAACTAAAAGTCCGCCTCCAGGGCCTGAGCAAAGTGGAGAAAGGGCCCCGACATCTCATTTGTGTCTCAGTGCCTCTTTCTGAAGCCCAGAGTGTCAGCTTAATGAGTCCAGAAGGAAGAGACGTCTCCTGGGAGGCTGGACGAGGCTCCTCCAGAAACTCACATGAAATGTGACACTCAGCCACCCTGGAGTTAGTCCTTGTTCTAATTAAGAAAGAATACAGCAAGCTCTGTGAGTGACGGGGAGTGAAGCCCAGTGAGCAGGCCCTAGTCCCTGGAACTGAAGGGCTCCCACTTTAGAAGATGCGCTAATGTGAGTGTGTTAGCTTTCTAAGGCTCCTCGACATGTGGCAGATGGAAAAGGAGAGAAAGGAAGGAACATCTATTAACCCTTTAATTGTTCTTCTGATCCTGGACTTGACGGTTTATTTATTTCATTTTTATTCTAAGAACTTGTGTGATGTTTTATTTTCTCTTTTACAAAGTCAGAGACTGAGTCTCAGAGAGTTTGACTAGCTAGCCCTATATGACAGCATCAGCTGGTAAGAAGTGGCCGGGGCTTTCCAGCTGGCCCAGGAAGCTCACAGTGTAGGGCCAAGGCTCCCAGCCTCACCAGCTGGGAGACCATGGGCACGCCATTTCTCCTTGACCTGTCTCTCAGTCTCTAAATTCAACCATTTCTGTACCTGTGAAGGGAGGGGCCTGTAAGGGGCCAGAGCTGAAAAAAATGTGAGGTCAGAATGGACGAGGACTGCAGCAAATGGCTGACCTACCTGACCGTTGATAGTGGGAAATAAGAATGTAAAATACCATGAGTCTAACAAATACCTCTACCGGTCCTGCTGGGAACTTAATGAGTCCTAGGCTAGCCTTCTCCTTGATGTCAAGTCACGGTGTGCTGGGGCCCAGAGTCGTCTTTAGTTCTCCATTCATCCTGTAAGCAGTTCTGAGGTGACCGCTGTGCTATAGCTCCCTGTGTTAGCCTGGGAGTCAGGTGCTGAGAGGAGTCCTTTCCCTTAGTCACAGGGGCGGGGGTGGCGGGGGGACGGACGTTAAAATTAAACACAGAGGCCCAGATGTTAAATCCGCAAAGTGCAAAGGTTATGACACATCTCCGATGGGGGACGTCACGGGAGGTTCATTTTGAACTGAAGACATGCTCTTCCGAGGCTGTGCTTCCTCTCCTGCCATTCCTCGGCTGCTTGAGGCACCTCTCCTTCTGTCTAATCTGGAGGAACCCGGGGTCTTTCCTAGACTCCACTTTCAAAGAAACATCCTGCAGTTGCAACTGTGCCCCCATCCCATTCAGCCACCAAAGATCCCATTCAGCCACCAAATGCCATCCGCATCCTTTTCTGGCCCAGGCTGGCCCCACCCACATGGAAGCAATGCGGCTTCCTGGCTTCCCTTCCTACTGTTCAACTAATCCATTTTAAGCTGCCATTTTTTTTTTTTTTTTAAGGTAGGGAACAAATGTTTTATTGTATGTGCAGTTCTTAGGATGTGCCACATACATGAATCAAACTTACTTAAGCAGAGTGTTTAGGATTTTTAAATCACCTTCTGGGAGGCTTAGGGGGTGAACAAGGCTCGTGGCTGGGTGCAGGAAGACAGAGGTTTTGGGATCATCATCATGAGGTTGAGCTCAGCCAGGCCCTGGGCCTAAGAAGTTCCTGGGACCAGGCAGATTTTCTCAGTTACAGCCAGCTGCCTTACAGCAGCTTCACCCTTCTGCTAGAGTGAGCAGGGAAGGCCCTTTTCAATGAAGTATTTTTGAATCCTTGGAGGAGGGACCTCTGAGGGAAGAGATGTGTGGTTTCTATAAGCAGCACCTCTACCTCTCTCTGTTCTAATGCAATATCCTGCAGCGCTTGGGGGGAATTTGCTAAGAACATTCTTAAAATAGAGGCCTGGAAACCAATCTGTCAGGTAGAAGTGTGCAGGCAGTGAAACCCTGGTTGCTGTGACACCATGCTTGGATGTGCGTTATCTTGTCCCACCAAACTGGTCCCAGTGGAGGGGCCAAGCAGCCTTGGCCGAATGGCCTAAGGCTTCACAGGAGGATCCACAGTCCAGCTTTGTCCTTGACCCTCTCTGCCTCTTTGGTTCTAGGCATCTGGAAGACAACCAGGTCAGTGTCATCGAGCGAGGCGCCTTCCAGGATCTGAAGCAGCTGGAGCGATTGTAAGTAAAGGACACCTCCTGGCTTCAACGTGTTGGGGGGACGTTTTGTTTTATTTTGTAAATCGGTCTGTGACCTTGTTTAAAACGAGTCTCCAATGTTCAATAAAATGTTTCTATTATATTGAAAGCCCCTCAGATGCACTGAGATCTGCTTAAACTCCCCTTCCTGAGAAGATGCTGGACTTGGCCTCTGGGGTCTGTTTGCTCCCGACCCCTCCAGCTCTCTCGGTTTCTTTATGTGGGGCAGGTTTATACCCAAGCCCTGGCCTTCCCCTCCTTCCTGGAGGAGGGCCGCCTGGAGCTGCCCTGTCATGGAAGTCACATCAGATCCTCCCTGCTCCTCTGCATGGGGAGCAAGCTCCCTGCTCAAGCCTGCTCCTCCCCAGACTCCTCGGCCACACTCCCATGGGAGAGGGAAGACTGGAGAGTGGGCGCAGCCTTCAGCGTGCCTGTTTCTCCTCAGAGGGAGCATCAGCCTGTCTCAGGAAGCCCACACGTTTCCACGAGAGAACACATTGCCAGTGGTTTAAAAATAGGCCGCTGTTCTGACTCGATCAGAGGGAGGGAGCAAAAGAGACGAGGATGGGAGAGGGATGGAGCCTCCATCTATTTTGTTGATGAATGCTTTTGCAGAAAACTCTGGGGTCACTTTGATGAGGAGAGCTGTTCAGATGGTTAAGTGGGCAGCTTCACCTTTCCTCAGTTAATCACATCTGGCAGCTCATAACATCTGGATATTTGCTTTCTGCCCTCTGAGCAGGGATTGTCCCCAAGAGCACTTAGTCATGGTGGTGGGCGGCTCTCATCATGCTTTCCTCAGCATCCTGGTTGCCCTGACATTTCAGCCTCCCCCTCCTGCAGATGGGGGAGCACGGCTCGACAGCTCCCAGTTCTACCACATACCTGAAAGAATTCTATTTACCTATCGCCAAAGCTTGCTTACAGAGATAGGCTTGGATGAAGGGAACTGCCTGATACCACCTTATTAGCTTTTTGATGGGCCACCTTTTTTCCATGAAGTCCTTCTATCCAAGTCCACATGGGAAGGGGGAAAGATCTCATCTCATGTCAATAATATTATTCAGAAAAATGCCTCACCACCCTCTGTTGTGTGAACTGTCTCATTTATTGTTCTCCTTCTGCATCAAATCCCAGCATATGTTCTGCTGTTATTGCTTTGAAAATATGACATTTATTTTACTTAAGGGAAAAAAGTTATAAAATTAATGAATGCTGCCTTTGTTTACACTTTGATTTTGAACTTTCTGAAAACTTAAATTCTCCTCCTTATTTAGACCAAAGAAAACATAAAAGTGTTTGTTGAAGCTGGTTCCTCTCTATGAAATAATCAACATTTACACAGAAAGATAAGTACACATCCCTAGTGGAAAGGCCACCTCTTGCTTAGTCTTCTAATTAGAAGGGTAAATACATTCCTAATTCGTTAATTTCATGGTTGTTGGGAAGAATTAATTGAGTACTTTGGACACACCAGGAGCTATGCCAGTGCATTATATGCTATCAGTTCTTTGATCCCCACAAAATTCCTATGAGGTGTTATTACTCACATTTTGTAGATGAAGAAACAAAGACCCAGGGAGATTAAGACAAGGAATTGTCAGGGTGAGGTGTCAAGATACAATGCCACATCTGCCTGACATCAAAGCCCATATTCTTTCATATTCCTGTGCTACAGACATTTGATGAAGTGTGATCTTTAGCAATAGCCTTGCAAATAGCCTCCCACATACCCATTTCACTCCAGGGAATATCAGTGAACTGTTCTGGCAAAAGGCTCTTTTCTGTGGCTTGGTGAATAACGCTGACATACCATGCATATCTGAGGAATAAATGGGTAATGGTTGCAGCAGAACCTGGCTATTTCTCTGCTTTAGTGTATTAGTGGGTACTGTTGACTGTTCTACTGGATAAGCCATGAGTCTTAATGACTTTACATTAGGGAGAGTTTACCTCTTAATCATGTGAAATGCAGTATGGGCAACCCTGATAAGGCCTCTCCCCTCCAAGTGGTGACTCAGAGGCACCAGCTCTTTCCACTCCTTGACTACCATTTTTAAACGGTGGCTTCCAACATACCAAAGTTTGTCTTCATCAAGCCAGCAGGAGGGAGGACAGCACCGAGGGCTGCACATGGAGCTTCCCAGGGCCGAGAGCTGGAAGAAGTGCTTTCATTCTTATATGCTCTGAGCTAGAATTCAACCATGCAGCTACCACAAACTGCAGGGGAGGTTGAGAAAACTCATAGAGCTTTCCAGGTAGTGCCCAGCAGGTAGAGGAAACATGCTTAGTGCAAAGACTGGCCAGTCTCTAACTTCTGTTGCAAGTGAGCTGAAGAAATACTTGGTCAGAAAGAAGTATAGGAGTGTAGGCTGCTAGACTAGAGTGCACAGCCGGGTAGGTACTCTCATTTGAGGCAAAGCCTTCCAGTGTCAACAAGAAGGGGGATGTGTGAGGCATGAATCCTGACTGCTGTGAACTTGGTTTCCATAATGCAGTCTGCCCCCAATCAGACTAAGTGATATACAGAATGGGCAGATACCATCTATTTGCTATTAACAACTGAAGAAGTGTCATCTCTAGTTCTCACCCCTCCACCTTACTTATATTCCTATATTTAGTGGTTGATTATTTTTATTGTTCATAATCTGAAATACAGAATATGAGAAATTATGTGGGCTTCAATAATTCACATGTGGAGGGTTTATTTCTGATCTATTTATTATTAGTTCATCCTTTTGGAACTTTCTGGGAAAGGGAAGAAAAGTCTGTCCTCCTGGTCTCAACTGAGAATTCTCTATTCCTCCACGAAAGAACACTTGTTCCAGACTGAGTTGAGCATCTCTGCAATAGTTATTTTCTGTTGCTATAATAAAATGCCTGAAGCTGGGTACTTTATAAAGAAAAGAGGCTTACGTAATAAACAGTTTTGGAGCCTGGCAGCCCAAGATCAGCCTCGCCTCTGACAAGGGCTCCTTTGGCTATGTCACATCATGGTAATGGCATCATAGTGGGAGCACATGTGAGACAGAAGGACCTCATAGAGAGATAGGAAGCCAGAGAGCAGGAGGGGATAGGCTTGCTATTTCATAACAACTTGCTCTTAGGAGAACAACTAGCTCACTCTGTGAGACAGGTTTCAATCCCTGAGGCTTGTGATGCTCCGATGACCCAGTCACTTCCTACCAGGCTTCACCTCTAAATGTCACTACATGGAGGAGTAGGCTTTCAACTCATGGATCTTTTAGAGGCACAGCACACTCAAACCACATCCAAACCATAGCATCTTCCTCCCATAGTAACACGCTTATCCCTATAACAAAACTTTTGATGCCTTATTTCAATTTCCTATTTTTCAGATTGTCTCTTCTCAAAACTGAGTGTGTTGAAGTCAGGGATCATGTTCCATTTAGCTGTTAATCTAACATCTTTGAACAAGGCATGCTAATAAGTGCTTGGAGGATTATTTATTCATCAAAAATACTTGAGATTTTGTTGTATACCAGTGATTCTGAGCTGGGACAAATTTTGCCCCCTGGGGGCACTTGGCAATGTCTGGAGACATTTTTGGTTATTTATGACTGTGGGATGCTCTTGGTAGGTGGAATCCTAAGTACCCTATCTCTAACTACCCTAAAATGCACAGGACAGCCCTACAAAAATAGAATTATCCAGCCCCAAATGTCACTAGTATTGAAGTCGAGAAACTCTGCTATTGATCTTTTATGTATTAGAGAGCACACTGGACACTTTATTATGAGGTTGACTTATCATGTCCCTAATGTGACAAAATATAAAATCCAAAGGTAAATGTATGTACTCTAAATCTACTTTGGCCAATTTTTACTTTTGGTTTCCAGAAAGTAGATGAGAAAGAAGAAAAGTTAAATGAAATCAAGAGCAAATAAACAAATCAAAAAGGCAGGCCATTCTACAAGATAACCACCCTGGTCTTCAAAAGTCGACAGTTGTAACTCTGTGGCAGAACCCTTGCCTGGCCTGTATGAGGTCCTGGGTTTGAGCACCCCTGACCCCTAAAACATTAATGTCATGAGGGGGTGGAAGTTGACTGTTACAGATTGAATGAAACTTAGGATAGACAGAGCCACACAAAATTAGGAGAGTCACTGGAATTAAAGTGTTCACAGATCCTTGAGTTATCTAAGAAGGGATGACAGTGATAAATAGTTATCACCCTATCAAATAAGAATGTATGTTATGATCAATGTGATAGCCTTTAAAGGGAGTAGTAAAATATATATATATCCCAAATAGAAGAATAAAGGACATGTAAAGTACAAAATATGAGGGATAAAAGGAAAGAAAAGAATACAAGCGAATGGGATAAATAGAAAAACATAGTAAAACAATACATATATCATAATTCATTTATACGTAAGTGGACTAATCCTCCAATTAAAAGAAGATGTCTGCTGGGTGCAGTGGTGCACACCTGTCATCTCAGTGGCTTGGGAAGCTGAGGCAGGAGGATTGCAAGTTCAAAGCCAACCTCAGAAATGGCTAGTCACTAAGTAACTCAGTGAGACCCTGTCTCTAAATAAAATACAAAATAGGGCTGGCGATGTGGCTCAGTGGTTGAGTGCCCCAGAGTTAAATCCTCAGTATCATAAAAGGAAAAAGACAGATTTTTAGTGTGAACTTAAAAAAGCACAGTTGTGTGCTGCTTATGAAAACAAATGTTAAATATAAAGTTGAAAATTAAAGATCCATTTGGCCATGAAAATACTAACCAAAAGGTTGATGTCACTCTATTAATACTGGATAAAACAATCTTGGAAAAAAGAAACATTATTGACTATAAAGTGGGACATGTCATAATAACATAGTAAATGCATCAGAAAGATATAGCAGATCTATGTGTGATATGTGTAAAACTGCCTGAAAATACATGAGGCAAATATTGACAGAACCAGCATGATAGACAAATTCATGACCATAGTTATCTTTCTCAGTAATTGATA